CATATAAAAGTTGGTTTAATAGGGACAGGTGCAAATTCGTAAAATTAGATACCTACGAATAATAAGTAATGGATAGTATGGAAGAGCAAATATGTACACATACCTGGAGAGACGTGCCCAGACAAAGAATAGAATCAGCATTTGCGACGATTTGAGATGCCTCGTCGCTTCTTACGCTAGGAACATTCTCTCCAAAGAACACGACATCGGGCTTTAATATGCCACTTTTGCATGCAGGGCATGATGGAACCTGGAGACAAAAGCATTACGAGATTTCATGTGCGAGGACAATCACCAAAAGGCTGAAATAAAAAATTCCAGGCCTAAAATTTTAAGGAAGTTGGTGAAAAAACGATCAGTTATAAAAGTTCTAGTATATATTCGCGTCTGGCGACCACAATTGCACGAATCAGCAAGACTAAAAATATACCATCCTTACATTGAAGCCAAGGACCAGATCATCTGGGATAGCAACATCACCATCGGGAGATTCATGTACATTTCCTGCTATATAATCAACAGCATCTTGATTAAGATCCTTAAGGGCTAGTTGTATCTCCGAACGCTCTATAGTTTTCCCACAGGATAGGCAAATTACGAGAAAAAGAGTTCCATGTAATTCTAAAACTCGAGAAGCTCCAGACCTGAAATGCAATCTGTCAACATTTTGCGTGATTATATGAAGGATCCTGTAGATGAGACTTTTGTGCAACATACCTGCCACGTTTCATCCATTCACTAAGCAAATTGTGTGAAATGTTAGGCTTTGCTGTGGAAAATTTAGGCCATCCTGCATAGCTACGAGCCCAAAAGCGTTTTCTGATGTTTTCGTTGTTCAGAAAATCTTGGAACTGGATCGGCTTATGTTTTAGCCTCGCGTAGAGACCAACATTCTCAGATCTATAATCAGGAAGACCACTTTCCGTGGATATACCAGCCCCAGTAATTACAGCCAATGCCTTTGAGTATCTAATAAAATCAACTAAGGCAGAAACTTCCCCGGGACGGACCGACCTCGAATTAGGAACAAATTGGAGCATATACTTTAGGGGAATAAAAGACGATATAGTTTACTCTAAAGTCAATAAAGATGATGAATATCTTATATTAGTTTTTTATTTCCT